TTGCACTTTCCGGGCAAGATCCCTCTCCCCTGCGCTGTTGTCGTCCCTTGACTCCTGGTTCACACGTGAGGGCTTATCGATCTATAACCCGAGACCCCTGGTGCGGCTGTGGACTGTCCGACTGGACTTTGTCCACCCCTAACAACGGCGAGTTACACATGTGTGAACGGGTCGGTGGCGACACGGTCCGTCTTTATGAAACCCCTTTATGAAAGGACGAACCGACCCAAAACGGGGTATATTTGGTGGGAGGGGGTGGGAAAAAAAGACACACCCGCCTGAACTTGAGATGTTTTATTAGAAGAAATCTTCAGAGGAGTTCGAAGCAATCCAGTCTGAAGCAGTAAAGGCAAGGCACTCACTGGCAACAACAGGTATCTGAGCATTGCATTGTCGGTGACTCCTCTGCAACCTGGCGCATACAGGCACCGGAGGTGCAGCTTTTTAACGTTCGCTGAAAAGGTGAAACGGGCCCTCAAACCACAGTAAAAAGGACAGGTTTTTTTTTGGGGGGGAGCAAAAGCCATTGCACCAGCCAAGCCTAAAACACTGCCCCCAGTGGACATTAAGGGTTCTTTCATGCCAGGGGGTGGGCGCTGCTCTTTCCAGCGAGGGCAGCTGGAGCAAGTCCGCGTTTCACCCACCTAACATGCCATCAGCCTGCGCCCAAGCAGCACCACCCCCACCAGTGTGCCACTCCTGCCCACCGCTGTCACCAGGCTGCAGAGGGCGTCCTCACACTGTGAGCATTTTGCCAGTCTTCTAAGGCAGCAGTGTCTAAAGCTTGCAGCAGGTTGCAGGGGCTTAGTGACCACAGCTCAGCACATGTTGATGTTGTCGAGTTTAACCCCTCCCCCGGCCCACCCTCACCCCCACCCTGCGCCGGTTAGCTGTACTCTCCGCAGAGCCCCACGGTCTTCCTGTCCCAGTCCGTCGTGGACAGGCAGTGGACGAAGAAGTGGCCCAGGTCGTATTTGGAGATGACCTTCCCCTTCAGCATGTTCTCCGTCACGGTGTACCTTTCGGTCAAGGGGTGGTTATCTGCAGAAACAAAGGCAGGACACTTCCTGGCTCTGACCTTTACAGTGGGCCTTCTGCTTCGACCGGTATTAAACAGAAAGCCCAGGCTGTGCACAGATGCCTTTTTTTCCCACCAGCTCCTCTTTTTAAAAACATACCTCCCTGCCTGGTTTCAAAGCATGTAATGTAGTCCTGCTCAATTCTGAAGTAGCACCTCAATCTGTAGGTCTTGGATTGGTGTATGGATTGAATATGTATGGTAACTCTTGCATGTGCACTGTTTGGGTTTTTTTTTTATCTAGGCTAGGCACATTCCACTCAACCTTGTTGACATGGCACAAAGTTAATCTGGACATGAATAAGCACCCCTTGCTGTCCCATATCTTCCTCCTCCTGCTCGCTGCACAAACTCCCCTGACACCCAAATGATCCAGAAGCTGGGCTAGTTACCAACTAAGGGAGCTAAAATAATAAACTGCTGGTATAGACACTGTGGGGAAAGTCATTTTTACGCCAAGTTCTTAAGTTTTCTGCATAAGGAATGTCTGTCTGTTTTCTTCCACAATCACGATGGATCCATTTTCTGCAGGACAAAAATTGACTTTTAGCTGCGTGGCTGCATATAGAGAAATGTCTCACAGTGACTCAGCTAGGCTGGATTGATACATGTGAGGGACCAGCGTGACTGTGCAGGTTTAGTTCACTATGAGAGACACATTTCTGAGGATTTTGCCATCTTGAACACATGCTGATCCAAGTAACGAGCCAACTAAGATCTATGAGGAACAGTGAGATTTTCCATTTTGCAGTGGAAAACATCAGCATAGCAGAGGCTTTGAGGAAACTGAATAGCAACAACATGCATCAGGGGTCTTGTTGCCTTCCAAGAACACCCCCCAGATCTGAAAAAGACTCTTGGCAAAGGAGGAAACCAGCCAAGAAGTAGGCCGAGAGAAAATCACCCGCAATGTGTGGAGGCATTACTGCCACGTAGTCCAGCCCCGACTCCTTCAGAAGCCTGTGCATGCGGTCATGGTCCTCGGTGATGGGCACCAAAGGAGGGGGCACCCTGCCGCGATCCCCAAGAAGGAAGGCTGTTGTAGGAAGAGGGCACATTAGGTTCACCAACAACCCCCCC